AAAAGTCAATGGGGGGGGGGGCAGAACCTATTCATTCTGCTCTTTCTTTTCTCTCATTCCTTCTTCTTTTCTTCTTCTTGTTCTTCTCTTGAACAGGTTTTGAACTAAACCTAGGACTGCTGTATCTGTATTTCAAGTCACTCCTTCCAACACAACCATTATTTCAGCCCTCAAAGAGTCATCCACACCAGTTGGATCTGAAAGAGAACAATAACTCTTTCCTCCTCGTCCCCAAATACTCCTTGTATACCTGAAGGACCAGGATTTCCTTCACTACTTCCATCAAAATTTAGCTTTACGAAACCCCCATTAGATGGGGATTAAGAAGGTCTAATCATAAATTTAAAGGAAGATGAGCAAGCAATTTCAAATCACTTCCTCATCAAGTCACCAGCAGAAGTGTCCTTAAAGAGTTTCGAAGACTTAACCCAATGTACCACTCTAACAGTAATGGTTTCAATTAAGGCACCCCTGCTTCTCTCAATTCTTGAGAAGATTCTTTGATTCCCTTCTTCCCAAATTGTCTAACACACAGCCACTCTTGTGTACCTCCAAAGGGTTCTCCCCCTTTTCCTTAGCCAACAAACAAAGTTAGAGGTAAACAAGTTTTGTACATTAGGTGGTGGGGGGGGGGGTTCCACCTATGCCCAAGCAAAGAGAGAAACCATTCCCAAATTGAATAAGATAAGGGGCAGGAGATTAATAAGTGATAGCAAGATTCACCCTCAGCTTTATAGAGAGAACACCGGTGTGGGGATAATGACCAATTAGCTCTCTTTGGAGCAAATCACAGGTGTTATTTCTTTCTAGATACACTTCCTAGCAAAAACCTCCTATTCTAGGTGGAACAGTTTTACTCCACACCTTTTTAACGGGAAAAGATATTCCAAGGCTATTGCTTGGTTGTATTAAGGATTTAAAGAATGAAGCACATGTGAAAGAACCCGAGGAAGAAAGAGTCCATACTTGACTATCTCTTTTTTAAGGATTCAAGATCACTCTCTCAAGACTTCGAAGAAGAGACGAAACATTACTTATTTATGATTCATGAAAGCCTCTTCTAAAACCCAAGTTCCACCCAAGACCAGACCTTGAGTTGGAATGAATCAAGAAATAATGAATCTGTTATTGATAAAAAAAAAAGAACCAAGAAAGAATGTTCACCCCTACGGTTTGATAAGGCAAATAGAGATGGGAATTGTTCCTTTAGGGGTGAATTGCCCAACCAGACATGTTCCCAAAATTTGACAAGGTTTTCCAAGGCCAGGATTATACTTGATAAGAGGCAAGAAAGATGGAAGAATGATTCATCAAAAAAAAAAGAAAGATGGAAGAATGGCATGAATGGATTTCTAAGGAGAAGCTCTTTTTGAACCTTGTCTGAACTCCAGAGTCCCAACCTTCAGTGGTTCAACAGCAAGTCCATGAATGCTAATGACCACCTTTGCCCACAGTTTGTCTCCATCATTTGGCAATCTCTACAGCCATTTACCTAACAAAGCAATATTGCTTTCCTGAATATTTCCAATACCTAAGCCACCACATTTCTTACTCCTATAGACCATCTCCCAACTAACCCTATGGTCCTTTTTTTCTCCCCCCTGGCTCCCATAAAAAGTCCCTCATCAAAATTTTCTAGCCTTTTGCTAACCCCTTGTGGAATTGTTAACACTGACATAAAATAAATTGGAAGATTTGCTAAAGTGGACCTAATCAAGGTGATCCTCCCAAAGTAAGAAGTAACTGCTTTTCTAAGAAGTGAATTTCTTATTAAATCTTTCTACCACTGGATTCCAAAAGTTGCCATCTCTTGGACTGTCCCCCATGGGTAAGTCCAAATAATTCATAGGTCAATGAGAAACCACACAGCCCAAAATTTCTGCCCGTTCTATTATTTCCTTCTTTTCCATAATGCAACTTTTTTCAAAGTTTGTTTTCAAGTTGGACATCTTCTCAAATACTTGTACAACCTGCTTTAGATTCCTCACACAACTCAAGTTTCCTCCTTCACAGAATATGAATATATCATTAGCAAATTGCAGATGAATGATTTGTACTTCATCCTTGTCTGCTCTCTACCCCCTTACCAAACCTCTAGAGTCAGCCCTCATAATTAGTCTCCCAAGTACATCAGCAATTAAAGTAAAAAGGAACGGTGAGAGAGGATTTCCTTGACTTAAACCTTTGAGGGCTGGAAAATGATCCACCACCATTCCATTCACCAAGATCGAGTAATGGCAGATCCTAACATACCCCATAATCCATTTGCACCATTGATCACCAAAGCCAAAGTTTTTCATTACTTCGATAAAAAAAAAACCCAAGTCAACCTAGCTGTAATATTCCATAGTCTTTGCACTTGCCAATAAGATTAGATCTATTTTAGGCACCAGGTGCTTCTTAACGAGTGAATGGGTGAATGAGGGAAATTTGAAGTTTTCTTTATTTATCAAAGAAAATTGAAGCTTTTCTTCTCTCAATGAGGGAGTTAAAATAATTTGACTAAAAATGCCCCTTTAAGGTCCTATAGCCATTTTCCAGTATTTCACATTCCAAGCTTTCCATAGTAAATAAATGAATGCTGATCCCAATTTTTGGTATAAGCACGTGGTTGAGGATTCATGCAGATTTCACATCTAGGTGATCACTTATCAATCTATAAGCCTTTACTTTTATTTGTTGCTGTCATTTACTAGGAAAATCTCAACATTAGGGATGAAGCGCTGCATCAAGAATTCTTTTGGGAACCAGATATTGTCTTTGAAAGCAATGATTGAAGGGCATATTTATTTTAGAGGCATAGTGTTGAACCTTGATCAAGGACAAAACCTGGACCTAATTATAATTTTGGCAGCATCTCTCTCTCTCTCTCCCTCTGAACCCCATTAGATCTCTAACCTCTTTATGTTTCATTTTTGCCTTACCGTTTCTTATTTTCGCTTAAGTAGGAAGTTTCTAACTTCAGTGTATGGGGTGGTTAGTGATGATACTGTTTTTTGATTGCAGGGCAGTCACATATCAGGAAAGAATGGGCGTATCCATTGTTCATTAAATATCAATACCGAGACTGGGCGTTTATCGGCCAGGAGACCAAATTTGCAGGTTCATGCTATTTCCCTTGCTTGTTGCTTTTTAGTAATTAAGAACTTGATATTAGAATGAGAGGAATGAGTGCTGAGTGGTAGACAAATGCCGAGGTGTTTATGATTTCACTTTAAATGAAAATTTGGTTGAATTTTGAGACATTTTGACTGAACTTTATTTTAAGCTATAAAAGTATAAAGTATGATGGAATGTTCTATGCCTATTAAACTCATGAGTCACAGGCCTATTTTGAGTGGGATTTTACTATTACTCTATTTTTCTATTTTATTTATTTACAGAAAAATACTCTATTAGTTTTTTTTTAATTTTTTTTTCTATTTATGGAGTATTAGTGACTGACATTAGCAAAATACAGAACTTTACTTTCTGAGTTTCTGTTTATCTTATTCCCAGAACAAAAATTCCAAAATAGAGAGTAGCTCTCCTTAGAAATGACCAGCATGTCTCTGAATGCTGGGTTACATTAAAACAAATTATTCAAGTTTTAAAATCAAGATGCATCTTGACTCTTCTGGTTTGAAGTGTGGATTGCACAGTCTATCTTGAGTCTCCACTTGATATTCCTAATTCCCTGCTCCATAATCATCCTTGTTGTTCTCACCAAGATAAAACAAAGGAAAATCTGCTCTCCCTTTGATTCCCATATGTTATGTCACAAATTTCTGTTTATTGTAAATCAGAACCAGCCTGCATTGGAGAAGGACCGCTACAAAATCAGGCAGGCTTTTATAGCTGCACCTGGAAACTCTCTCATTGTTGCTGATTATGGACAGGTTCCACTTATTAACTACCTACATACTTTTCATGATATGTAATTATTCATATGAATATGATGATTGAACTATTACTTTTTTTTTTTTTTTTAAATCACAGCTGGAGCTTAGAATTCTAGCACATCTTGCAAATTGTAAGAGCATGTTGGATGCCTTCAAAGCTGGAGGAGATTTCCATTCAAGGACAGCAATGAATATGTATCCACATATTCGTGAAGCAGTAGAAAACAAGCGTGTTCTTCTAGAGTGGCATCCTCAGCCTGGTGAAGAGAAACCACCTGTTCCTCTATTGAAGGTAATACAAAATCCATTTTAGTGTAAACTGCCATAGTCATCTGGAAAAAAATTACTTCACAAATTGACAATAAGAAATCAACTTTGGTATCACAGTATAGGCATATGCAGCAGGTTTATGCAATAGATATAAACGTATAGGACATATTTGGCATGTCTTTTATTTATATAAAATATTAAAAGTGATGAACAGAGAGATGAGTGAGAAGGAGCAGGATGGCAAACTAGTATCTTCCCTGAAAGATGTGTTTTATGCTTGCAATGAATTTTTTTTTTGATAGGAGCTTGCAATGAAATTATGACACATGTCATAGTATTTTGACACTGGAATACTGGATTGTTATTGTGTTGTAGCATGTAGCCCTTTCTCAGGCTACTGGCCATGTTAGAATACAATATTTTTTCAAATAAAAAATTAAAAATATTTTAAAATGGAAAAATGCTTGGATATGGGGCCACAGGACTGGTAACTCTTTCTGTGGCCCTTGAACTCGCCACTTGTTCTAGATTCATAGGATCAGAATCCAGGCCCTTTCTTAATCTTCAAAAACCCATAAGCTGTATTGTTCAGGGTTAGTCAATAATTTACTCTCTCTTGTAGCATTTTTAGTGAGGAACATGTTGTTCTCTGAAAGGTCAAAGCACACTTAGGTGCACGGGCAAGGTGCATAATGCATTATAAGGCATGCCTGGGCTGAGGTGTAAGGTGACACAGGCAGCAGCTTTTCTAAATGTGTTTTTTTTAGTTTTTTGATACATTATTCTGTGTTTTTATCCTTTGTAATAATTTCTTAACTTCTAAATAACCTTTTATTGGCACTGGTACACTAGTAATGATCTATTAATTTTTAAAAGAAACGAAAAACAATGACCTTTTGAATATCTAAAGCTCTATGTTACGATCCATTTGTCCCATGTTGGTAATATGGGATGCTAATGTGAGGTATCCCACATCGGTAGTATGGGATGCTGTTGTGGGGTATATATGTGCTTGGGCTCCCTCCCTCTAACATCTAGCTTTTAGGGGTGAGTTCTCCTAAGGCACATAACAAATGGTATCAGAGCCTACACTATGCCTCCCAGTTGCAATCGTGCGGCGCAGGTGATGACATTGGTATTGCAATGTTCAGCCGGGACTAGGTGGACTAGTGCAAAGCCAGCCTGCCTGGGTGCCGGGACTGTGGAGCATGGTGGGATGTTACGATCCATTTGTCCCATGTTGGTAATATGGGATGCTAATGTGAGGTATCGCACATCAGTAGTATGGGAAGCTGTTGTGGGGTATATATGTGCTTGGGTTCCCTCCCTCTAACAGCTAGCTTTTAGGGGTGAGTTCTCCTAAGGCACATAACACTCTAGTTGCAGAACAATAAAAAAGTCCTATTTGTTGCAGATAGGATCTTAGGCAGCAAAATTTCCACTAAACAAGTAATAAGAATACAACTAATCTCTGATCCTTGATGCTAAAATAAAATGACCTGTCACCAAATAACCAAAATAACAAAACCAACCCATTAATTTACGGGCCAATAAGTTGAGTCTGAGTTGCTGTCCTCAAACCTCTGGTTCTCTTGGTCTTCTGCCTCAGTAAAGGCCCCAATCTCCCAAGATTAGGATTTAGGAATGCAAAATATCTAACATCACACAAGCTACTTGAAGGGGTTACTCATTCTCATTGAGAACTTCACATGATTGATTTGCTAAGTGCTCGAAGCACTTTGGTATGATCCATATTTGTTTGGTTTTACTTTGAATTTGAACTGTTTTATATGTTGTGATATCCTTTTTCAAAAAGAAAAGTATTTTGATGAGCTACTACATTTTTTTAAAAATCAAATTTGCATATTCTTTATCTATTGCTTCGTCCAGGTTCCTGTTCTGCCTTGCATCTTTGCCTCTTGCACTAGAAAGCCTTTGATATTTTTTCGCTTTTAAAACATTGAGTCAAATGTTCAAGAGTGGGTAGAGGAGATGGGGAAGAAACCCAGATGGTGCTGTTAGTGATTTATTATTTTTTTATTTCATCCCAAATCTTCCATTCTGAGTTCTAGCAATCTCTTTTAGCTTTACTATTGCTTTGTTTGTTGGCTAGGAGGGACTTGTAGGACTATCTTAATTTTGTCCTTCTTAGTGTTAACAGATTTAATAATTAGGTCTCAGAATGTTTTGTAGTTCCAATTTGGTTCTTTGTGTTTGATTATTTTTAGCTTATTTCATCCCAACTCTGCCTGCCTGAGTACTAACAGCCTCTTTTACCCGTTTTCCCATTCTAAATCCAAGTGAACCTCTGTACCTTGGTCATTAGATAGATAGGGACTTGTAGGACTATCCCAAGGTTGTCTATCAGGGTTAACATATTTAATGGTGTGGATCTTAAAATGTTTTATAATTATAAATTGGTTCTTTTTAACATGTAAATAGGTTTTTCTTACTTTTTCTGCCTGTTTTTGCTGAAGAATATCTCAAACTATAGATGTGAACTTTTGAAATAACTGAAGCTATTTTAATAATCAAGTCATATTGTAAATCATCAGTTTGTCTACTTATGAATGCTCATTTCAGGATGCCTTTGCTTCTGAGAGAAGGAAAGCAAAAATGCTTAACTTTTCTATTGCATATGGGAAAACTCCAGTTGGTCTTGCTCGAGATTGGAAAGTGAGCTTTCTGTGAACTTGGAGATAATGAGAAATTCCTAATTTTAATTAAGTGTAAATGATTAACATAGTTATCCCTCCTATCCATTCTCAGGTTTCTGTCAAGGAAGCAAAAGAAACAGTAAACCTCTGGTATAAAGAAAGACAGGAAGTCTTGCGTTGGCAAGAAAAACGTAAACAGGAAGCTCAGACAGAGAGGCGTGTTCACACATTGCTTGGACGGGCTCGCTGCTTCCCATCCATGGCTAATGTTAGTAACTCTCAACGTGGCCACATTGAACGAGCAGCAATCAACACCCCAGTGCAGGTTCTCTATCTTCTGCATCTCTAGGTTTCATGCTGACAAATATTCACAGCTTCTTCAATAGAGCATCTCTCTCTCTCCCTTGTGTGTGTATGTAACATTTGATTCAACTGATAATTTTAGTTACTGCAACAGGGTAGTGCCGCTGATGTTGCCATGTGTGCTATGTTAGAAATATCAAGAAATGCTCGCCTGAAGGAGCTTGGATGGAGACTTCTTTTACAGGTGAGTTAATTCCCTCTTCCCCCCGCCCAAATACAAGGAACTTAGGCGGTGCATTTAATTAAATTAGCGCCACTAATAGTTTCTTTAGATACTCAACATTTTTGGTGCAGCACATGCAAACCTGTGTACTCATGTTGTATGCGCAATAGTTTGGAATGTTGGGTGCCTGGACCCTATTTTGTCATGTCTTACATCCTGCCTAATTATCCCGAACTTGCATGTGATGCTGAGATCAACATCTTAGATTTTTGTTACAGTAACCACGAACCAATACTGTAATGATGTTTTTACATACCTCGAAGCATTTTTATTTTATTTCAGTGTTGCGTCCATGGAACTTATTATGTTTTTCCCAACTTGGAATCTCTGGTAAGTGGCACCAATTCCATTGTGGCTGCTTACACTACTGGGCTCAACATTATGTGGTTGAGATCATATGGTGTATGAAAGCAGGATGGATTAGAGCCCATGTAACCTGCCAAGTTGATGTGTGGGTCCACCATTGGATGGGACCTGTCTAAAAGACATTTTTTTCCAAAAAAATCAGCTTAAATATTGTATTTATTTGGATATTAGAAAGTATGATTTTGACATGTATTATGAGGGCCATGCCCATCCTTCGGCCCAGACTTGACATACCAAGCACAATTGAGATGGTGGAAACATTAGTAGTTGTCGAATAGTTATTTCTTGGCAAAAATGACTTGGACTGACATTCTACTAAAAGTAGGTTCATGATGAAGTCATACTGGAAGGACCAAGCGAATCAGCAGAGGCGGCCAGGGGCATAGTAGTTGAGTGCATGTCCAAACCGTTCTATGGCATCAATTTTCTCAAAGTTGACCTTTCAGTTGATGCCAAGTGTGCACAGAATTGGTATGCTGCAAAGTAGAAAATGCTTCTGTTAATGGATTTCATTTCAGGAACACCCCCCC